TCGTTGCCCAGGCTAGAGCGCAGTGGCGCCATCTTGGCTTACTGCAACCTCCGTCTCCCAGGGTCAAGCAGTTCTTCTGCTTCAGCTTCCTGAGTAGCTGGGATTACAGGCGCCCACCAACACATCTGCCTAACTTTTGTATTTTTAGGACAAACGGGGTTTCACCATGTTGGTCAGGCTGGTCTTGAATGCCTGACCTCAAGTGATCCACCCGCCTCAGCCTCCCAAAGTGCTGGGGTTACAGGCGTGAGCCATTGTGCCTAGCGGAGAACTCTGTCTTAAATAACTCTTTCAGTTATAGTCTACTTTTATTATACTGGAGCCTGTTGATGTGGGGTGAATGTCCCCCCCCCCAAATTCCTGTTCACCTGGAAACTCAGAATCTGAGTCTATTTGGAAATAGGGTTTTTGCAGATGGAAGTAGTTAAATTAAGATGAGGTCTTGCTGGATTAGAGCAGTCCTTAAATCCAATGACATGGTCTTATAAAAAGAGGGGAGGATACATAGAGACAAAGACACAGAGGTGAAGGAATTCAGAACATTTCACCCCAAAATGTGTCATTCTGATGCAGGGATTATTTTGCATTAAAGGCACTTAAATAGCAGGTTACTCTGGCCCTCCTTTTTTTTTTTTTTTTTTCCCCCCAAAAAGCAAGAGATAAAACCCTCTTGGAAGGCAAAACCTCCTGGAAGGTAAAATCCTCCTGGAAGGAAGATAAAACCTTCCATATGGAAGTTGTCTTCCCTATACCAGGAGGAAAGTAACGTTCTTAACATCAAGGACAAAAAGTTGAAGCTGGGAGAAAACTACACAAACAAACTTTGTTAACCTGACCTTTGTCTTCCTAGCCACTTTTCTACCCCAATAACCACCCTAGCACAAACCCCTTTGCCTCATCATATTTTCAGTTTTACTATTCTTTGCCCAACTCAGTATACAAATGTTTAACTCTGATTACTTTTTTTGAAAGGTCTTCATGTCTGCTGTCCCCCAAAACTCATATATTGGAAACATAATTCCCAGTGTAACAGTGTTGGTAGCTGTTTAGGTCATGAGAACTCCACTCTTGTGAATGAATTAATGATGCTATAAAAAGCATCACCCACTCCACTTTTCTACCGCATGAGGACCCAGCGTTCATCCCCTCGGGAAGACGCACCACTCAAAACGCCCTCTTGAACCCGGAGTCTGGATCCTTACCAGACAATGAACCTGCCGGTGCCATGATCTTGAACTTCCCAGGCTCCAGAACTGTGAAAAATAAATTTCTATTCTTTATAAATTACCTGGTTTGTGATATTCTGTTACAATAGCACAAAATGGACTAAGACAATTTTCTTATGAAGGCTCCCATGACACATAAAGCTTATATTAAATACATTTGTATACTTCTGTTCGTCTGTCTATGTCCGTTTAATTCTCAGGCCCCATTGAAAGCCCTAATAAGGTAGACGTCAAATTTTGTCTCTCCTCCAGAGAGAAGGCCATGTGATGGTAGAGGCAGAGGTTGGAATGAAGCAGCTCCAAGCCAAAGAATGCTGAGAATTGCCAGCAACCACAAGAAACTAGGAGGCAAGGAAGGCTCCTTCCCTGCACCTTCAGAAGGGACATAGCCCTGACAACTTCCAGGCTCCAGAACTGTGAGATAATACATCTCTGTTGGTTCAGCCACCCAGTGTGTGGTATTTTATGGCAGCCCTAGCAAACTAATACCATAAGGTACTGGGGAGGAGAGGCATTGTGTAATCTTACAATTAAATCTCAGTGGGTCGAGTGCCTGCTGTAGCCTTTCTCTTTTTCTCCCCCGATGGAGACTGGAAGGCTAGAGGGGGGCTGAAGTTATCTCACTGCCCTTCCCCTAGGGCAGATAAGGCCCTGGTAAGGCAGTGTCCTTTGATGAGAACACTTAAGGAGAACAGAATGCTCTGGGCTTTCAAAATGGTTACTTTTCCGCTGGGCATGGTTTTAAATGGTTACTTTTCCTCTCCTCTTGCCTGAAGCCTGGGGATTTTTCTCCTGTCTTCACAGTGAGAAACTGGTGACCTTCCTGGAGGTAACCCCAGGAAAATATGGAGTTTTCTTACTGCAGGGACCCCAGGAGTTTATAACACTTAAACTAGTCCAAACACTCAGCCACCAGCAATTCATCAGCTACCATGTAAGTGCTCCTACAAGTTGCCGGCTCCAGGGTGGCTTCTGCTTCTGGAAGGTAAGTTGTGGTTCTCTGTATTCCTCTGTCTCTTCTATTTTTAGGGTGGGTGCTTTGACTGCCATTCTCTGCAGTGTCTAAGAAAAGTTGTTGCTTTTCAGTTTGTTCAGCTTTTTTCCTTGTAAAGATGGTAGTAATGACTTCCAGGCTCTTTACTGTTGGAGCTGTCTTATGGTGACTTTTTTTTTTTTTTTGTCATCCAGAAGTATTTGTGGTTTTATACTGGGATTCTATCTCCCTACTAATTCTTTTTCTCCTTCGCAAGGTATTTTTTTTTTCTTTGCAAAAGACTGTAGGGAAATATTTGAGTAACAAAAGTAAGACACAGGAAAGTTACAGAGGCCCAGAATCATAAAAACTCAGAGTAATGGCTTTCAGGTCTATGATTCTGACTTCCCTTTTAGAAATTACTGGAAGCCTCAGTAACTTCTGTACCTTACCTTCCTGGCTGCTGGTCAATCCTCTTATACTGGTACTGCACATTTCTTATCTTGTCAGTCTCAAAAGTTGTTTCCTGTATGTTTCTTTGTCTTGAGCTTACTTTGTAAGCAATTTGAGGTCCAAGGCTCAGGCTTCCCTGACCTTGACAGCTTCCTGGAGTCTTGTACAAAACCAGTTTGTGATTAAGCTTCTGGGACGATGGACCATTGGTTGAATTATATTCTTTCCTCCGTTGGTTTGGTGTAGAATAAGTCATATATATTGCTAAATTGCCTCTTGCCAGCACCTAAGCCCAGGCACGTACTGGTGGGTCTACTCTGTGATCCAGGCTCTGATAGGGATAGGCAACCCCCAGGGAGAGCTTTTCTGAGTCTGACATCTATGTCAAATGTATGTCCAAACCCCTATTTCTCTTTAAAAACACTTCATATATCTGTCTCACCAAACCAATGCCTGTGCATTGTAGATAACTTGGGAAATACAGGTAAGTGTATAAAGACAAAAATGAAAATGATCTATGAAACCATAGTCACTATTTTGATACAATTCTTCTGGCCTTTTGCATTGCTAATAGAGAGAAGGATGAAGGGTTGTTTAGCAATCAACAAAAATCAAGGATTACTATTGCTGTGATTGTTTTCTGTGCATACAAAAAAATTAATGCAGTGCTTTAGGAATGTGGCTGGGCAGGAACATGACTTTCGAAATCAAATGCATCTGAGTTCAGACCCCAAGTCTGTCACTCACTGGATGACCTTGGGCAAGCTGCTTCTCTATGTTTCAATTTCCTCATCTGAAAAATGGGCCTGCTCTCACCTACCTCATAGGGTTGTTGGGAATAACTAATGATTTTATGTATGTAAAGCAATTTTGTTTTTTATTTTTAATTTTTATTTTTATTTTATTGAGACAGGGTTTCACTCTGTTGCCCAGGCTGGAGTGCAGTGGTGCAATCACAGCTCACTGCAGCCTTGACCTCTCTGGGCTCAGGCGATCCTCCTGTCTCTGCCTCCTGAGCAGCTGGGACTATACACGTGCACCACCACACCCAGCTAATTTTTAATTTTTTTTCTAGAGATGGGGTTTCACCATGTTGCCCAGGCTGGTCTCCAACTCCTGGGCTGAAGCGATCCGCCTGCCTTGGCCTCCCAAAGTGCTGGGATTACAGGTGTGAGCCAGATGCCTGGCCTGTTTGAAGCCCTTAAACCACAACACTGGCAACAAAGTATTTGATAAATGGAGCAGTTGGAGGAGAAAAAGTGTGAGGAGGAGGAAGAAAAGTGGGAACCAAAACTATGGCGATTTCCATTTTTGGAACTGCTGTGACCTCGCACAGCACACTGTGCTTCTCATTGTATTTCCAGTGGGAGAGTTCCTGCTGCTTGAAATGTGATTTATGACAGTTATAAACCAAGATTTCAGCGTGTCTTCATGGAAGAACGCCTGCTAATAAAGATAGAAGGAATGATAGAATTAGATTACAACTATTTTGTAAAGACCCTCGTTATAACTGATTCAGTCAATAAGGTCGATGGGTGCTAAGGCCACTGGGTGAGAGGTCCTTGGGTATTGGATATTTACACATTACCAAACTATCATTTTGCAGATTATGTGTTAATTACAGTGGAGAGATCTTTTGGACATCACTTTAACTAAACGATCAAAATGAGGTTTATAAAATAAAAGACAAACACTGCATGTTCTCACTTACTTGTAGGGTCTAAAAATCGAAACAACTGAACTCATGGAGGTAGACAGTTAGGATGGTTACCAGAGTTTGGGAAGAGGAGTGGTGGTGGTTGTAGGAGTGGGGGGCGCTGTCAGAGGGAGGTAGGAATGGTTACTGGGTACAAAAAAAACAGAAAGAATGAATAAGACCTACTATTTGATAGCACAACAGGGTGACTATAGTCAATAATAAATTAACTGAACATTTAAAAATAACTAAAAGAGTATAACTGGATTGTTTGTAACAGAGAGGATAAATGCTTGAGGGGAATGGATACCCCATTCTCCATGATTTTACAATTGCATGTCTGTATTAAAACATCTCATATATTCCATAAATATATACGCCTACTGTGTACCCATAAATATTTTAAAAAAATTTTTTAAAGTTAGGTTTACAAATAATGAGACTAACATTACATGCCTGCTGATGTGATAACAGTAGTACTCTCTTATGTGTGGTTTCACTATCCTGAGTTTTAGCCACAGCCTGAAAATATTCAATTTAAAACTTCACAAACAATTCAAAAGTTTTATTTATTTATTACAACTTAAACAAATTTTATTTACTTGATTGAGACCTTATTGTACGCAAAATGTTTTTCGTGGTTGAGCTTAGCTTTGTTCACACTGACTTGAGGGAGTCTGGTTTTCTCTGCTCAAGGTTGTTCAACTGCTGCTGTTGCCCTTGGTTTGTTTTCTTTCAAGATCAAGGTGGGTACTTTCATATAATATCTTATTTTTCATTCCTTCTCTGGCAATTCTTCCCTGGATTCTTTGCTTTGCATAATTATATCTACAGTGAAACCAGCATCCCAAAGTCACTAAGATAAATCCTCCTACTCCACACCTGATCTTCTAATTCTACTAGTTAACAACAATAGAAAAGAAAAAAAGTCCAAAGCCAGCCACAACAGATCCTAATGAACCATACAATATTGAGTCCCGGGCACAGGGAATATTTTCAACACCGAAAATGCCTAGGAGCTTAAAGAGCTTCCCCTTCGCGGGCTCGCCGGGCTCCGGCGCCGCGGCCATGGGGACGACTCCGCACCTCCACCCGCCCAGCACCGCCGGCGCCGCGGGAGAGGAAGACCGGCCAGCCGCGCCCCTCCCCGTCCCCCAAAATTCACTAGTTTTAAATCACGCGCTGTTCTGAGCAGCGCAATGAAATCTCTCGCTGCGCCACTCCATCCTGCTCAGGATGTGAATCATCCTTTTGTCCCGCGTATCCATGCTGGAGACACCACCGGCCGTTAGTCACTAGCCCGCTCAGCCCTCTAGCTTATCACATCGACTGTCAAGGTATTGCAGTGCCTGTGTTCTAGGAACCCTTATTTTACTAAATAATGGCCCCAAAGCACAAGCGTAGTGAAGCCGGTAATTCAGATACGCCAAAGAGAAGCCCTGAAGTGCCTCCTGTAAGCGAAAAGGCAAAAGTTCTCAACTTAAGAAACAAAATCATTTGCTGAGATTGCCAAAATCTATGGTCAGAATAAAATTTCTAATTGTGAAATTGTAAAGAAAAAGAATGTGTTCTGGTTTTGCTGTTGTACCTCAAACTGCAAAAGTTATGACCACAGTGCGTGATAAGTGCTCAGTTAAGACGAAAAAGGCATTACATTCGTGGGTGGAAGACCTGAACAGAAACTTCTTGTGATTGGCGGCAGTCAGGCTTGGTACTCTCTGCAGTTTCAGGCATCCACAGGGGATCTTAGAACCGAAAAAAAAAAAAAAAGAAAAAAGTTTTAATTTGAATTACATCATGAGGCAGTAATTAGGCAAATAGAAATTGCAGAATAGTCCATTAGGCTCTGCAAGAATGTCAATGACATGAAAGACAAAAAAAGGTGGGGAGACAGCTCTAGATGAAAAGGTATTAAACAGTCAAATACAATGTGTGAACCCTGATTAGATGCAAGACAAAGATTTTTTAAAAATACAGATTATTAGATAATATTGTATCCGCGTTAAACGTTAAATTTCTTCATTGTGACCATGGTATTGGGTTATGTAAGAGAATGTTCTTCTTTTAGGAGCTGCAGGTGAAGTATTTAGGGGTGAAGTGAGCATATGTCTGCAACTTACTCCAAATGCTTCAGCAAAAAAAAAAAAAAAAAATATATATATATATATATATATATATATATAGTGAAGGGTAAATGGGTGTTTAACTGCTTCTCAACTTTTCTGCAAGTTTGATATTTAAAAAAATTAACAGATGGCCAGGAGTTCACGCCTATAATCCCAACACTTTGGGAGTCCGAGGTGGGTGGATTACTTGAGGTCAGGAGTTCAAGACCAGCCTGGCCAACATGGTGAAACTTCCATCTCTACTAAAAATACAAAAAATTAGCCGTGTGTGGTGGTGCGTGTCTATAGTCCCAGGTACTCGGGAGGCTGAGGGAGGAAAGTCGTTTGAACCCAAGAGGCGGAGGTTGCAGTGAGCTGAGATTTTACCACTGCACTGCAACAGAGCGAGGGTCTATCTCAATAAATCAATAAATAAAGCAAATAAAATAAATGTGGTAATAAAATTTTGCTTTCAGGTGAATGTTAGAAAAGGACCTCCCACTGTCCTAGCTACTGGGATTTTCTGAAGGAGAATTAGGAATCCTCTAGTTTAAAGACACTGGTATAGTTGGGTATGGCAGCTTATGCCTATAATCTCAGCACTTTGGGAGGCTGAGGAGGGAGGAACACTTGAGGCCAGGAGCCTGAGACCAAACTCGGCAACATAGTGAGACCCTGATTCTACAAAAAAATTTAAAATTAGCCAGATGTGGTGTCACACGCCTGTAGCCCCAGCTACTCAGAGGGCTGAGGTGGGAGGATTGCTTAAGCCTGGGAGGTCAAGGCTGCGGTGAGCCGTGATCACACCACTGCAGGCACACTCCAGCCTGGGCGATGCAACAAGACCCTGTCAAACAAAACAAAACAAAACAAAAAGACACTGGTACAATATTTTCTGGCTGCATTTTCCGATGTGAGTCTCCTTTACGGTCTACCTTGTTAAGTGTAATCATTCTCTAAACTTGAATTGCATTTGGTTTTGCTTTACAATTCTAAGAAGTTGCCATTGAGCGGATGTTTAATCAGCCCTTGAGTAGTGATACCGCTAATGTGGGACTAAATTCCGTCACTGCAACTGTCTTAACAGGCTGAAGAAAATGTGAGGTGAGAAAAGCCTGTGTTTGGGTTGTGGGAATTATGTACAATTATATAAGTTGAGCAAGGAATCTGTGTGAAAGCCACTTTCTTTCCTAAGAGCATCTGATCCACTATCACCTGTGCCCATAACAAGGCCTCAGATATGCTGTCACATCAAGGAGACATGGAAAATAGGAAGTCAAGACCTTTCTACTGGGTAAAAATGAGGAGAAATTTCCTTAAGGAAATAACACAAAATCATTAGACAGCTAACAACATTTGTTGTTTGCATTATCTGACAAAATTTCAACAGTGGATTGTGAATTATTCTTTTCTTTGCCACTCAAAGTAGATGGAGATTATAATTTCACAGAAATGGTGTATTGAGTTGGGATGCTAACTCTTGGTGACAGAATTACCGTCACATAGTAAAGGGATAAACATAGTGGGAGGAATTCAAAAGATGACTCTGTCCCTAACTGTAATTGCATCAAGGGATGACATGTTAGTTTCTTTTCACTTGCCATTTCCAATTGTTAGGTGAGGACTGCTTAGAAGACTATAGGATTCCTGGGGCACTCCAGGCTCAGGGAGAAAGAGTACAGTAATTGATTAGTGATGTCTGTCATGATTTTTTTTGAAAGAGTGCAAGTGGCATGGAAGCCATTTGTGCTAACTTTGAATTCCAAACACAAACTAAATTGAATGCTTAAAAAACACTAACACCTTCAAGAAAGGATTTATTAAAGTAATGATTAGTGGCCATGGTTAGTGGGTACAAAAAAACAGAAAGAATAAACAAGACCTAGTATTTGATAGCACAACAGGGTGACTATAGTCAATAACATTTAATTGTACATTTAAAAATAACTAAAAGAGTATAACTGAATTATTTGTAACACAAAGGATGAATGCTTTAGTTGATGGATACCTCATTTACCCAGATGTGATTATTACACATTGTATGCCTATATTAAAATCTCATGTACCCCATAAATATATATATCTACTATTACCCACAAAAAATAAAAATAAAAAGTTTAAGGCCAGGAGGCTTCTGCCAGTGGCATGGAAAGGAGGGAACTAAGACTGAAGTCTGAAAGCCAAGCTTTAAATCCAAAAGGAAATGAACTAGAAGAGAGTTAAGCCAAGTCCTCTTCAGGACACAGGATGACAGCCAGCCCAGAGCAGGGGCTTGGCTCTGTCACTGTGGAAACACAGAGAAAGTTCTGGCTTGGATGGGGTTTTGGCAGTGCCATCTACACTGTGTCAGGGGAGTGGGCAAGAAGACTAGGTGCAAGGATGCATGCGGCCCACCTGATGCCAGGGGCAGCTGTTGTGGGCACGATTACGGGGCTGCATAGCCAGGGCTGTGAAACCTTTGCATCTTGGAACCTGCTCAGAAGCCATCTGTTATGATTTGGCTTCCTGGGTGTCTTGACTTGAGCAAGACAAGGTCCTGTTGATCAGAAGCCAGTGGGAAGCTGTGGTTTCCAGAATGAGCTCAGCTAACATAAGCTTGCTTCACAGGCCTGCTCATCAGACCTTGGAGCCTCTCAGGCTGAGGACTCGCCTTGGGAATCCCCCACCAGGAAGGTGGTTCTAGGAGACTGGGGTGGTGGAGGGTACTGCCAGCCTTCATCTCCTGGCCTTGTGCAGACTCACACCTACTCACGCTCCTGGTTTTTAAGAAGATCCAGGCTGAACTGACGTGTATCCTGGATGCTTCCAGCCTCTCCAGCTTCCTAGGAGATCCTGCTCTTTAGTGCCCTCATTATGGTCAACTGAGGGACACAGGATGTGCAGGTTTTTGCCAGGTTCTTGTCCCCCGATAGTGTCTGGGAAGATGTGTTTATTTCCCCTTCCTGCTGTAGCACATTGCCATATATTAAGTGGCTTAAAATAACACAAATTTATTATCTTACAGTTCTGTAGATTAGAAGCCTAACACAAGTCTCACTTGGGCTAAAATCACGGTGCTGGCAGGACTGTGTCCCCCTGGAGGCTCTAGGAGAGAACCTGTTTCTCTGCCTTTCCAGCTTCCAGAGCCGGTTCTGCCTGCAGCCCTTGGCTCATCGCTCCTTCTTCCATCTTCAAGCTCAGTAACAGTGGATTGAATCCTTCTCACATCCTATCCCTCTGTCTCTTCTGCCCCACTCTCTACCTTCAAGAACTCTTGTGATTACATTGGGCCTACCAGGATAATCCAGGATAATTGGCAACCTTAATTCCATTGATAACCTTAATTTGCCATGTAATTGAACATACTCACCGGTTCTTGAGATTTGTACCTGGACATATTGGGATGGGGGAGATTACTTTGCCCACCTCAGAAACCCCGAACGATGCTCCAGGATCCACACAACCACCACCCCCACCTGGTTGCTGGTCACTTTAGCCAGCCACCTCTCCTTCCTTCCTTCTGGCCACCGGGGAACTAGCTTTTCTGGGATGCACAAGCTTCCTGAGCCACTGAACCCAAGGATGGACCCAAGCATCACTCTAATTCCCCAAGGCCCAGCTGAAACAGAGGAAAACATTTTCATTGTGACAACTGGCAGCAAAGGTCCTCGTAGCTGGGAAACACCTTGGTAACTGTTAGGGCAGATGGTGGAGCAGAGGAGGCAGACATCGGCAGGCACCTGGGCCACCACGCAGAGGCTTCAGCTGCTGTGAGGGAGGAAAGAGGAGGGGTAGAGAGAAGGGCGAGGAAGGCAGAAGGTGAGAGAAGCCTGCCTGCAAGAGGCTGGCTCCTGTGGTGGCCGGCCTCGGGATGTTCCGTGGGGACAGGGCGGCCGTGGGCCATTTCAGCTGTGCAGATGCCCGATGGAAGCTTGTGCTTCTGTGATGTGGAATTTCCCTGTCTCTCTGCAGTCCTTGAGCTTCAGAAATGCCCATGACACCTTGAGGGCAGGGGGGTCTCTATAGGACTCCGGGAAGAGGAGACAAGTAACTGACAAGTGGCACCATGGGAAAAGCAGAGGTCGTGGAGGTGTCAGCAGCCCTGCCCTGGGAATGTGC